GAACCTAAACAGCATGATAAAAAGTAGAGACATCACCCTGCCAACAAAAGTCAGCATGGTCAAAGCAATGGTATTCCCAGTAGTCATGTATGGCTGCAAGAGTTGGACTATAAGGAAGGCCGAGCGCCTAAGAATAAATTCTTTTGAACTATATATTTATTTTATTTATCATATTTATACCCCGCCCATCCTGTGAACAGGCTCAGGGCAGCTAACAAGTGGTACCACGTACCTAATTAGTATACCATAAAAATCTTAAAACTCTATAAAATCACATAAGACATACTCAATTCAGCAAATTAATAAACAATTAACAATAAAGTGCATATAGTAATGAAAATTAGATGGTGTGCATTCCAGATCTCAATCTCTGATCATCATCCCTCGCGCCGTTGGTCCTGGCGATATGTCTGTGCTAGACCTAGGATCCAAACATTCATTAGGATCATGATGGTAACAGTAGTGGCAGCTCCTATTGAAAGGCCTGGTGGAAGAGCTCCATCTTGCAGGCCCTGTGGAACTGTAAAAGGTCCCGCAGGGCCCTGATCTCCTCCGGGAGCTCGTTCCACCAGGAAGGAGCCGCCACAGAAAAAGCTCTGGTCCTGGTACTGGCGAGCCTTGCATCCTTGGGGCCCGGAATAATCAATCGGTGTTGGGCCCCAGACCGTAGTGCTCTCTGGGGTCTATACAGGGAAAGGCGGTCCCTCAGGTAGGTCGGTCCCTGGCCATGTAGGGCTTTAAAGGTAAGCACCAGCACCTTGAAACAAATCTGGTATGCTATAGGCAGCCAGTGCAGTACATTATCGAAGGCCGCCTCCGCGTCCAAAAAACCCAAAGTTAATTGTTTTTCAGGGTGTTGCTCATAGAATTCTAATGTATTTATAATCATTCTTATGTTATTCTTTATCTGTCTTTTTGGGAGAAAGCCTGCCTGTTGGTGTATAACCTGTACAAGTATCTTCTTAAAGCGAGTGGCTATGATTGTTGCAAAGATCTTATAATTGACATTTAAAAGAGAAATAGGTCTATAGTTATGGATTTCTTTATCATCGGTATTAGGTTTATGTATAAGTGTGATCAGTTCTTCATTCCATTAATTGGGCACATCTGTTATTGTAATGTTATGGAGTAAATCCTTGAAAGGCTACAGGGGGAGCATATGACAGAGGACTGTCAGATTGGGCATAGAGGGGGGAACAGAGAGCTCTTCTTGCCTCTTCCAAAAGGGCACAACTCAGGGGAGCGTCCAGTGAAGTCGATGGGCAGCAGATTCAGGCTGGAGAGAAATCCGTAGTGCCTTCCTGAACCAGCGATTGGAATGTGGAACTCGCTGCCAGAGCGATGGCCACAGGCATAGACAGCTATAGAAGGGGATTAGACGGGTTCCTGGAAGATAAGTCTACCAGTGGCTACTAGCCGTGGTGACTAAAGGGAACGTCCGTGTTCAGAGGCAGTCAACCTCAGAATCCCAGCGCCAGGAGGAAATATCAGGGCAGGGCCCTCGGCCTCTGGGCCCCTTTGCTTGGCCCTCTGGGGAAACTGGTTGGCTGCTGGGTGAAGCAGATGCTGGACTAGGTGGGCCACTGGTCTGATCCAGCAGAGCGCTTCTTGTGGCTCAGAGGCTGCCGCGTGCTGAGGAAGGGCACAGCGCGTGTGCCACTGGGAGCGTCTTGGCAGGAGGGCCGAGCAGAAGCGTCCAAGACGCCCTCCGTGTGGCCTTGAAGGCACAAGAGCAGCTGCGTCACCATCTCCTCCGGCATCTTGTTTCGCAGGAGGCCAGCTGAATGCACCCAGAAGGCACAGGCAGGCATGGGGCTTAATTTATTTCAGACTGCCTTTCAACTCGGAAACCCCGAAGGCTGTTCACAAAACAATGGACAAAGAGCCAAACTCTTCCTGTTGTTTTTCCCCCCAGTCCTGATATCGCTCCGTTGCCGCTGAACATGGTGGTTCTATTTAGCCATGTTGGCTAAGAACCTCTCTTCTTCTGTGACTTTGCCCAGTGCCCTTGTAAAGGTCTGACCTTGTGGCAGGGAGTTCCACGGGTTATTTTGCCCCCTGACTCTTGTCTCCCCCGCAGAGCAAACAGCCCAGCTGAAGAAGCTGCAGGAGCATGAGAAGCGGCAGAAGGTCGAGTTCCGGAAGCAGGTGCGTCCCCCCCCCCCCCCCCCCCCCCCCCCTCCCTAAACTAGGCTGGCATCTGGTGGCACCTGAAAAACCAAACATTTCTGCCAGGACGAGCTTTCGCAAGTCAGAGCTCACTTCCTCAGATGCAAAAGAAAGGAAGATCATTCTCACATTTATCCAGCACATCTCAAACACAGGGGAGGGAGGAGTCGTTCCCGGTCAGCCAGCCGCTAAAGTTTTCCCTTTCCCTGTTCACTGCCCCAGATGGAGAAGGAGGTGTCCGGCTTCATTCAGGACAGCAGCCAAACCAAGAAGAAATTCCAGCCCATGAACAAGGTTGAGCGCAGCATCCTGTGAGTCCCTAAGGGGTCCGGGGTGTGTGTGCGCGCGCATGTGTCCGCCCCCCTGTCCTTGTCCTCGCCTGGGCTCTGGGGGAGGCAGGCCGCCCAGGGCGGGGGTCACTCACGGCCTCTGAGGCCTGGATTCTGGCGTCCCGTTTCAGGCACGACGTGGCGGAAGTGGCTGGACTCACCTCCTTCTCCTTCGGCGACGATGAGGATTCGCGCCACGTCATGGTTTTTAAGAAGGCAAGTGGGGGTTGGGTGTGCGGCTGGCCAAAGCTCCGCTCCTCACCCCCATCCTCCTAACAGCCCTCTGCCGCCCCTCAGGAATTTGCCCCCTCGGATGAGGAGCTGGAAACCTACCGCCGAGGCGAGGAGTGGGACCCCCAGCAGGCACAGGAGAAGCGCCGGCTCAAGGTGAGGGGCGGCGGGTGTGGCCGGGGAGGCGCTGACCCCTGTGGCCAGGCGGGCTGCCGAAGGCTTCCTCTCTGTAACCCTGGGGGGGCCCAGGCCTCCCCCTCCCCCCCAAATCCTCCTTTAAAGTCCCTTCGAAGCCGGGCCCTGGGCCTTCTCCCCAGCTGGGAGGGCCTCTTGCCCGGCTGTGTCTCCTCCTCCTCCTCCTCGCCTGGGTCTTTCGGCCAAAGTGTGTGGAGGTGGGGGGGGGCTTGCCCTGGCTCCCCTGGTGTCCTCAGCCGCTGCCCCCCTCCCCCGCAGGAGCTGGCTCAGAAGCAGGCAGAAGAGGAGGCCCTGCGGGGGCCCACGGTGGTGCACCCCAACAGCGACTACAAGGACAAGTACAGCCACCTCATTGGCAAGGTGGCCGCCAAGGACGCTGCCCACACCATGGAGGCCAACAAGGCCTACGGCTGTGGTGAGTTGGGAGGGGAGGGCGGCTTCCAACCTGGTGTGTGTGTGGGGGGTGCGGGGTGTCCTGGCCTGCCTGGCCCGTCCTAGCTCCCCTTCCCTCCGTGTCCCTCTTCCAGTTCCCGCGGCCAACAAGAGGGACACGCGCTCCATCGAGGAGGCCATGAACGAGATCCGGGCCAAGAAGCGCCTGCGCCAGTCGGAGGAGGAGAGCCGGGCACCGCCCGCCAAGAGCTCGTAGGGCAGGGCCGCGCTCAAGTGTGTCGGGGATCCTCTCCAGAGCGGCTGGGGCTGCCCTCCCTGAATCCTGTTCCTCGGAGGAGGAGGAGGATCTGCGTTCGTTCTCCCCCCCCCTGCCCTCCTCCCCCTCTTCTCCTTGCACTTCTTGAGTATTTTTAACCCAGAGCCTTGGCTGGCGTCTTGATTTTAATTCCGGCGAGGGAGGTGACCGTGGTCAGGGCTGCCCTCATGGGGTGCCGGGACTGAGCGGAGGGCCACGCCCTGGGCCCTTGGAGGACTTTCGGGGTCAGTGAGTGAGCCTCCCCAAGTTTCTCTAGTGTGCTGCTGAAGCCCCCCACCCTTGCTTACGTTCGGAGGGGGGCCCAGTAGCCCATATGGAGGCAGCCTTCCCCTTTGCCCTTCCCTCTTGCAGGCTTGGGGGTGGGTGAGCTTTTCCGCCCCCCTCTCCAGGCCTTCCAGCCTGTTTGAGGGGCTATCCGCCCACCAGAGAGACCTGCAGCCGCTGGCACACTCCTGCCCATGGTGCCCAGTGGCCCCGGTGGTGTGGCCTCTGGCACTGCAGACCATATGAGCCAGAGACAGACACACACACACACACCCCACCGCACGGTGCATCTGTGAAAGGGCTCAGTGGGATTCAGAACATGACTTGCGGCTGTTTCTCCTCCACTTGAATCCCTTGCCAGAACTGGAAGGTTTTTATTCGGCTGGCATTTCCAGCGTCTCTCCCAATGTGAAATGGCTGTTCTCCTCTCCCCCCGCAGGACTGTAAATTCTGGCATGGTGGGGTGGGGCTGGGTTGGGGGTCTTGTATGTGCAGCATTAAAGCCAGTTTTGAATGCTACTTGTCTTTACCTATTGTAATTGTGGATGGAAGAATACATATTTTAGTGGCGGGGAGGGGAAAAGGCATCTTCTATGTGGAGGAGGTCCTGGGGGGGGGGGTTGTCAGGCAAGTGCTCTGTTGTGGGGGGGGGGGCGATGACTGAGGGGAACCCCCCGCCATAAGACAGACCAAAACTCTGAATCCCAGAGCCAAGAGGCAGCATCAGGGGAAGGCCTCGGCCTCTCTGCCCTGTTGCTGGCCCTCCGGAGGGACTGGCTGGCCCCTATGTGAGGCGGGAGGCTGGACTAGAGGGACCCTCCCTGGTCTGGCCCAGCAGGGCTCTTCTGGTGTCCTTCTCAGGGGAAGGCCTTGGCCTCTCTGCCCTGTTGTTGGCCCTCCGGAGGAACTGGCTGGCCCCTATGTGAGGCGGGAGGCTGGATTTAGAGGGACCCTCCTTGGTCTGACCCAGCAGGGCTCTTCTGGGGTTCTTTGGGGCCCACCTGGGCCATGTTGAAAATGACCAGATTTGACTTTAAAAATTCAAATGTGGAGATGCCCCCAGTCGCTCCTGCTGCCTCCTGAGGCCGTGAACCTTGTTAGACGATTCCTTGAAACCCCACCCCCCCGGCACAGTGTGTGTGGCTTAGAGTAGTGCAGGGGAGACCCTCCCCAGTCAGAAAAGACTTCAGGCGGTGTGGGTTCGAGTGCCTTTTTTTATTCAGCACCCCACGAGGGGCTCGGTGGTGGTGGTAACATTACAGGGCTCCTTGAGTGTCCTGCAGCTCTTTGTGTGGAAAGGTGTTGGGTTCCCAGCGGCTGTGTGTCACGTGTCGGGGCCGGTGCTCGGGCACCAGACAGCACAGCGTCCCAGCAGCTCCAGGCAGAGAGGTCTTTACTTGGCGCGGGGGTTCCGGAATTTGCGGCCCGCGAAGTGGGCTTTGTCCCCCAGCTCTTCCTCAATCCTGCCGAGGGGAAGAGGGTGAGTGGCAGAGCTCCCAGCGCCAGCTGCATCAGGCTGCCCAAGACCCCCCCCCACCCCGCCCCTCCCAAAGCACGCGCAGCCCCTTCCCCCCC